TTCGAATGAGACCACCCCCGCGTCGATAGCCCCCGGGGTTCGGGAGTTACGGGTGGTTAAATTCGCTGACAGGCGCCGACCAATCAAGCGATCCCGGGGGGCTACCGACACGCAGAGGGTGGCGTTCGAGAGGGCTCCTCGAGCTGAAGGGTTCCCCTGAATTTGGTGGAGATCCGCCGGCGCATTCGCGAGATAGTGACATCAGTCAACACTTTCACTTCAGTAAGGAGGTCTCTTGTTCAGGCAGCAGCATTCAAGCGTGGTCTTAAGCGGATCTCCACCAAATTCGGGGGATCCCTTCAGCTCGAGGAGCCCTCTCGAACTCCACCCTCCGCGCGTCGGTAGCCCCCCGGGATCGCTAGATCGGTCGGAGTCGGACCGCGAATTTAACCACCATAACTCCCGAACCCCGGGGGCTATCGACGCGGGGGTGGTCTCATTCGAAAGCAGGCCTCTAGACGTACACTCAATTCGCGTTCGAGAGGGTTCCTCGAGCTGAAGGGATCCCCTGAATTTGGTGGAGATCCGCCGGCGCATTCGCAGATACCGATATATCAGCCGATAATATCGGCAAAACGATATATCGGTCGGGCTCTACTGTTGATAACGTACCATGGCAAAGAGGTTGTCGTAGCCCTTGACTTTGGTGGGCACCTTGGAGAACTTCTGGTCAAAGGCATCTGAGATGTTGTGTGCTGGATCTGTGGATATGATGAGGACGCTCTCTCGCACCGCCGCTAACTGTACTGCCAGACTGCAGCTGCAACACAACAAGCAAACAAAAACTTATATAAACACTTACTCTAGATACAATACAACCAGAGAAGAAATCAGCATTTAAACAGCATTTTTGAATGACATTATATTATGATTGAGAAAACTACCAAACAAATTTCGTTGTATTATTATAATGACAATATAGTTTCTTATCTTATATTATCTTGTTTTCAGTATGTTTTCTTTATTAAGCAAACCAAAAATGACAAATGAACTTAATCACAAATGGTCAATCAGTTCATGTAAGAAATATCTTAAGTGCAAGAACACATTTTGTGAATTCTGCCATTTATAAACACCTGTTGCAGTAAAAAACACATTATTATTATTATTATTATTATTATAGAATAACAAAGTGGCTGTATCATAGATGGCAGAGATTGTATGATAAAAATGTAAATATGAGCTGCTTAGATGATTAATATCACCCGCTTTCATTTATGTGTCTGTCTTTCTGTGATATTTTATCAAATAATTGATGAATTGTTATTATTCTTATTGAAAATGATTTTAAAAACTACCTACATTTTGGTATTTTTATGAAATATCATAAATAACCATCTCGACTCATGAAAGGTTTTATATTTAGAGAACTGTTTTGTCATTTGATCGTTTTTAAGCATGCATTTTAAGGGACACATTGATGAGTTTCAGCGTGTTTTTCACCCGTAATGTGATACAGTAATTTAGCAAACATGTATGAATGAGTAATCTATGTTGTTGCTAAAGCAGCACTGACAGCTAACAGCCTCTCAGCTGTAAAACCCCGACGTTTATTCACTCACCTGCATGTTGTCTTGCCCACGCCACCTTTACCACCCACAAATATCCATTTGAGTGATTTCTGCTCTATAATATTCTTTAATGTCGGCTCTAAAGGCTCTACATCAGGCGCATCCTCAAACTCGTCTTCCACTGAAGCTGCCATCTTGCGCTCAAGTCAGTTGGAATACACCAAAGCGGCAGCTGCACACTCCGCCATTTTGGCTCCGCAACAGCAGAAACACCGCGCTAGAATAGACAGAACTTAGATCCAAAATGGCCCGTGTGGGGTGGCCAGTTGCGAACGGAAGTGTGTTGATTACGCTGATGACTCAGCCGGACTGCACCAACTACTTTCACTGCACGAGAATATTCCAGAAATTATTATTTAGATTTTATTTCTCATTAGTTGGAAGTGTAAATACACTTATAATAATAATATCACATGTTGGGTGAGTAGTGGATCGTTAAATATTTATCGTGCGTTGTTCATTTGTCTACTTGGAAGACAGAATCACACAAAACGTGTAGATATGGAAGAATTTGGCAACCTTTATTGTATTTTAATACTATTCTTGTGCCATTATTGCACATAAACCAAACACTTCATTTTAATAGTATGCCTGCTAATGTTTTTGTTGGCAAACTTACATTTATATGGCACCAACAAGCGACTCTTTTTTTATTATTAATTTTATTTTATTTTGAAACAAACTTCAAATTTGGAACATAACTTATTTAGACATAAGGCTATAATTTTATACCAATTTTAGAGTAAAACCTGATATGTAAAATATTTATTATATATAAAATAAAATAAAATTAATATAGTGCATTTTCTTTACAGTAAATTTAAACTACTATAGCTTTTTGATACTTAGATTTTTTTGAAAAAATTCCACTTTTGCGATAATTTGCTGATTTTCTTCTTTAAAAAGAGACCAACCTTATGTCTGTATTCCAAAGTGTTCATAAATTACAACAATTTAAGTTTGGATAGTGCACCTGAATGCTTATTTAAAAAATGGGGGGTGACAGTTAAAGGGTTAAATAACATTTAGTCTAGATAGAATCATTTACATACAGAGAAGAAATCAGCAATCAAACAGCATTTGTGAACGACATTATATTATCTTATGATCAAGACAAACCTTAAATATCGGCAGATTTTTTTTTTTAAAAACAGTATGCTTTCTTCATTAAGCAAACACAAAAATGACAAATGAACTGAAATCACAAATGGTCAATCAGTTCATGTAAGAACAATCTTAACTGCAAGAACACATTTTGTGAATTCCGCCATTTATAAACACCTCTTGCAGTAAAAATCACATTATTACGATTGAATAGCAACGTGGCTGTATATATAGCAGAGATTTTATGACAGAAATGTAAATACGAGCTGCTTAGATGATTAATATCACCCGCTTTCATTTATGTGTCTGTCTTTCTGTGATATTTTATCAAATAATTGATGAATTGTTATTATTCTTATTGAAAATGATTTTAAAAACTACCTACATTTTGGTATTTTTATGAAATATCATAAATAACCATCTCGACTCATGAAAGGTTTTATATTTAGAGAACTGTTTTGTCATTTGCTCGTTTTTAAGCATGCATTTTAAGGGACACATTGATGAGTTTCAGCGTGTTTTTCACCCGTAATGTGATACAGTAATTTAGCAAACATGTATGAATGAGTAATCTATGTTGTTGCTAAAGCAGCACTGACAGCTAACAGCCTCTCAGCTGTAAAACCCCGACGTTTATTCACTCACCTGCATGTTGTCTTGCCCACGCCACCTTTACCACCGACAAATATCCATTTGAGTGATTTCTGCTCTATAATATTCTTTAATGTCGGCTCTAAAGGCTCTACATCAGGCGCATCCTCAAACTCGTCTTCCACTGAAGCTGCCATCTTGCGCTCAAGTCAGTTGGAATACACCAAAGCGGCAGCTGCACACTCCGCCATTTTGGCTCCGCAACAGCAGAAACACCGCGCTAGAATAGACAGAACTTAGATCCAAAATGGCCCGTGTGGGGTGGCCAGTTGCGAACGGAAGTGTGTTGATTACGCTGATGACTCAGCCGGACTGCACCAACTACTTTCACTGCACGAGAATATTCCAGAAATTATTATTTAGATTTTATTTCTCATTAGTTGGAAGTGTAAATACACTTATAATAATAATATCACATGTTGGGTGAGTAGTGGATCGTTAAATATTTATCGTGCGTTGTTCATTTGTCTACTTGGAAGACAGAATCACACAAAACGTGTAGATATGGAAGAATTTGGCAACCTTTATTGTATTTTAATACTATTCTTGTGCCATTATTGCACATAAACCAAACACTTCATTTTAATAGTATGCCTGCTAATGTTTTTGTTGGCAAACTTACATTTATATGGCACCAACAAGCGACTCTTTTTTTATTTATTTTATTTTATTTTGAAACAAAATATAATGTCGTGGTGATTGTACTTCACAGAATTATGACATTTATTTTTACATTTGTGTTGTGCTAGAGCTACATTTCAATTCTGAATCATTAACAGAAAATTAGGTAATTCATCCAATATGATATCTAAGAGCAATAACAGGTTGATTTCGAGATTTTCAGACACTGTTCTCGGTATTCAATCACATTTTAAGTCACAATGGTTCAGTACAGAGATACAGAGGGAAGCTTGAGCAGGATGAAATATTTTATGAATACAGTTTCAGGCTAATCATGGGGCTCTTAACACAGTTCAGTCCGATTAACATGATTAATCCAGCACAATAACTGAGCAAACAAAACAATGGAGAAAATCTTCCTTTTTGCACAAGCAGTTCAAACTGTGACAGGTATATAAGATCATGGCTTCAGCTAACATACAGAAAAGACTCAAAGACATTACGAACAGTATCAAAACTGATCAAAGCATGTACTGCTGCACATAAACCAAACACTTCATTTTAATAGTATGCCTGCTAATGTTTTTGTTGGCAAACTTACATTTATATGGCACCAACAAGCGACTCTTTTTTTATTATTAATTTTATTTTATTTTGAAACAAAATATAATGTCGTGGTGATTGTACTTCACAGAATTATGACATTTATTTTTACATTTGTGTTGTGCTAGAGCTACATTTCAATTCTGAATCATTAACAGAAAATTAGGTAATTCATCCAATATGATATCTAAGAGCAATAACAGGTTGATTTCGAGATTTTCAGACACTGTTCTCGGTATTCAATCACATTTTAAGTCACAATGGTTCAGTACAGAGATACAGAGGGAAGCTTGAGCAGGATTAAATATTTTATGAATACAGTTTCAGGCTAATCATGGGGCTCTTAACACAGTTCAGTCCGATTAACATGATTAATCCAGCACAATAACTGAGTAAACAAAACAATGGAGAAAATCTTCCTTTTTGCACAAGCAGTTCAAACTGTGACAGGTATATAAGATCATGGGTTCAGCTAACATACAGAAAAGACTCAAAGACATTACGAACAGTATCAAAACTGATCGAAGCATGTACTGCTTTTTTTCCATTTCATTTTTTTCCATGTTCAAAAAGAAGAAGAAAAAAAGTTTGCATTAATCAGGAAAACAACAAGGAATAACTTTAAAGCTTCCACTGTAAAGGCTGACTTTAAGTCTGCAACATTTGAAAGGTGCACAAAGTTTGGCGATTGTATCATTATTCTCTTCCAAAATAAAGAAAGAAAACTACTGAAGACGGTGCCCACGGTTCTATCCAAACAGACAAGGCAAGGCAAGGCAAAGCTAAGTGGGGACAAACAGGATCCAACATGTAACACCAAAAACAAGCATTTAGGGGAAAGATGATCCAAAACCAGTGTAAAAAGGCAACTTACATCCCAGAACCTGGAAAACAGCAGCTGATGAGGCAAAACTACCACTAAACAACCTCATCACCAACCCCATTACGATTAAACACGAAATGACATAACGTGACGCATTTATTAAGCTATTTAGATGTGGATGCACCCATCCGTAGTGATCGAGACAATTATAGAAAAAGTATGTAAAACTACCACCTCAAACACCAGTTCGTGCATCACGAGCTTCAACATTATCATCATGGCACATGTTTTCTTGTAAATTCGGTTTCTCAGCATTCTAATTGTGAGCCGTAAAAGGCACATTCACAGCCTGCAGAAATGAAACTCCGCCCTCTAGACTTGTCAAATTCAGAAAGGGATGATCTCATTGGCGGAATTTTGGCGGTGGGCGGGTTCCACATCCAATCAGAAGGACACGAGTCCCTCTCGCATATATTGCACATTTCATGAATTTGGTTAGTACGAAAAGAAAAAAAAGTATATAATTTATTAATTTAACCCTAATTTACTCATTCGAATTGGCTTTTGAAACACTCTATCTTCATTAGAGATGCTTCCGTGGTTTTCCACCTTGCTAAACTTTACATCAATTACATGTATATGTATTCGAAAAGCGCTTTGACATGCAAGTGAGAGGTTTTAAACATCCTTCCAGGGCCTTTTAAGTTTAACACTGGACATTTTTACAGTCTCTGAACACACACACACACAGAGTCAAGCCACCTTCATTTGTTCAATCTACTGTCCCAAACGTTTCGGGGATCTTGGCAGACTCATTGGCACGTCTCTCGGTTTTTCCGCAGGCACTCTCAGTTTGTCTCGTAAGAAGACAGCAGCGCAGCGTCGACGGGCTCCATACAGGAAGGGCAAGTGAAGGAGCGCATGAGCCAGGCGTCAATGCAGTCCACGTGATAGATGTGCATGCAGGGCAGGAACCGGATCGGGTCGCCGTACTCGAAGTCCATCATGCAGATCACACACCTGTGGGCAGATGGCAAACATTTTTACATGCAGCCGGCTAGATTTGAAAGTGGTTTTCACTAGTGCTGTCAAACGATTAATTGTGATTAATCGCATCCAAAAATAAAAGTTTTTGTTTACAATATATGTGTGTGCTGTGTATATTTATTATGTATATATAAATACA